AGCATAATTAAAGGGATATGTGTGGGTGGTGGCCTGGATGATAGCCCCAACGTATGCCATATCCTCCCTTCAGTATGCGGCTACACGGCCATATTAAAATTATTATTGTATGTACTGGGCAAATGAGAAAAGTTGGCGAAAAATTGCATTTAATGTTGAAGGATTCTGGGAACTTTAATATTTACTATCAATTTAAAATTCGTGCAAACACTTGCATCAGTGTTGTGGCGAAAAGTAATTGTCCTTTCGACCATTCACTTAAGGTCATTAATTCATTCGGCGACAGCTGCGAAAAGTGAAAATCGTCTTTCGGTGGGGAAATTAACATACTCCGCAGCGAGTGGGAAAATTTAATTAAAGTGACGTAAAAAATTATTGTTAAAACAGAGCCTCTTTACTATCATTTGCATCGAGTGGAAAATAAATGTTTCCATTTCATTCCGATCTTATTGACCATGAAAAAAAAGGTCGGTCATCGTTTTCATTTGGTGGCCGTATATCGGTTCTTTTTTATTTTTATTATTATTGTGAGTATTGTTTATTGTGCTGGCTAATGTGGCATAGTCTAGACACTTTTAATATATCTAGATACTTGAGCAGGGGGTTTCGGTGGGCTCTATGTTAAAGTTGAAAATACTTCGCAACGCTCATACGCCGCGTTGGCCACATAAATCTTTCACCCTCGTGCAATACCAACTATGTGCGTGTCTGGGTGTGTGCACATTAAAAGTTTGCCTAAGAGCTTATGGCACCATTTGTAAAAGCGATTTTTAATGCTGCTGTGAGATCCACACACAAGAGGGTGTGAAAGAGAGGAAAGCTCCAATGCCACGGCCAACATCTAATGGCTTTCGACGCATTACAGGAAAACTTTTATAATGAGAGCGCATCGTGCCAATACCCTTTGCCGACATACGTAAAAATAATATCAGAGTTCTGGATCTGATACTTGAAATATTACTTCCGTGGGATTTAACTTTTCATATCCTTGGATTTGATATGTTACTCAGAAGTCAAACAATTTACAAAATTATTATAATACATATTTTATTTTTTCATGAAATATTTAAAGCTACTACTTAATATCGGTCGCTCCATAAGACAAAACTACCCCGAAAATCCAAAATTACAACCTAATTTTCGTTGACTTTTTGAATAGGGTTCCGTTATAAGTGACTATAGAAAGAATAAATAAAATTATTGGCTGAATTAATAACGTTATAAAAGGCCAGTTTAAATATATTTATTCAAAATCTTTCTAAGTAAAATTCCAATCAGTTAAATAGATTAACCTTCCCAAGTTTGCGCCTATTACGTGTACACAAATTTCTAAATACGAAAAAGTAATCATTTGAGTCGCATTTCGACATCGCTTAGTGTCATTTAAATTATTGCTCGGCTTGGCAGCTCATGGCATTTCCCGCGGGAAGAGCTGGGGGTTCAGTAATTAGTTGAAGCGCATTAAATCGCTACGATTTTGTCACGGTCTGACATTGAGAGGCTGCTTTACTGTTGCTTCGACATGGACAGTATCATACGAATCTGCTTACAAAGTGTTCATGGCAACTGAAAATCGTTTTAACATTCTTTCTCGAAATTGACTGAACAATTTGTTGTTGGTGTGAACTTAAAGTCTACGGTTAGTAAGTTGTTGTAATTGGAAAGTTTTGCATTAGAATTGCAGTATATCTGGAATTAAGTTCAACATGGCCAATGTTCATTTGCAAATAATATAAAAATTTTGTTGTAAATAGCATAATTTATTCTTTTTTTTATTTAAATTTAAAAATTATTTGTATCACATGACTAAAACAAATAAAAGTATTGGGCACTTTACGCAGTCTTAAATATTTGTGGTAATATTTTCTTATCAGACAAAAACACCTTTTGTCGAGGTAAGCAAGACTTAGCGACCGCACCTTGACATGGAAAATGTATCATATCAAATTTTCTTAAAAAAGTGGAGAAACAAAAATGTTTCAAGGATTCTAAAACAAAAAAATTGATAAGCATAACGACGCACAATCAGACATTTAAGTCTCAATTTAAAAACAGAGGTATTAGAATACTTTTGGTTTCCTTCGCCGCAATTTTTGGTAAAGATTAGAAACCTCAGGTTTTATTCGTTAAGCCAGAACAAAGAGTCTTTTGAACTGTATTAGTACGAAATGTTAAAAAAACGTAAAAATACCTTTCTATTAGTACTAATTTTGTTCGGATCGTATATCATAGCAAATAGTTTCCTGCGGTACATTCTCGTTGCATTTCGTCGCTGCCATCCAAAGATATCTTAAAACTGGGTGAAAAGATCCAAAAACAAGAAAGGAAAGCTAACTTCGGGCGGAGCCGAAGTTGATATACCCTTGCAGAATATTCTGTAAATTATATTCTCCAAAATTATTCATATGATGCATTCTTAATACTCATAAACAGTCCCAACTTCCTAACTTTAAAAACACCAAAGTTATGACATTTCCAATCGTTCAGTTATATGGCAGCTATAAGATATAGTCGGCCGATCCTTATGAAATTTGGTAGGTCGGATTGATTGGCCAAAAATAAAACCCATAGAAAATCCCAACTTTCTAACTTTACAAACACCAAAGTTATGGCATTTCCGATCAATCAGTTATATGGCGGCTATAGGATATAGTCGGCCGATCCTTATGAAATTTGGTAGGTCAGATTGATTGGTCAAATATAAAACGCATTAAAAAATCCAAACTTCCTAACTTTACAAACACCAAAGTTACGGCATTTCCGATCAATCAGTTATATGGCAGCTATAGGATATAGTCGGATATATACTGCGTGCAAAGGAAAGAAGGCTGTGTGCAAAGTTTCAACTCGATATCTTTAAAACTGAGAGACTAGTTCGCGTAGAAACAGACATACGGACAGACAGACGGACAGACAGACGGACAGACGGACATGCTTATATCAACTCAGGAGGTGATCCTGATCAAGAATATATATACTTTATAGGGTCGGAGATTTCTCCTTCACTGCGTTGCACACTTTTGACCAAAATTATAATACCCTCTGCAAGGGTATAACAAGAGAGAACGCTATAGTCGGGTGCCCCGACCATCAGATACCCGTTACTCAGGTAAAGGGAGTGGGAGGGAGATGGAGATAGAAACTTTGATCACGCATAACTTTTTAGCGAATGGTCCGATTTGAAAAATTTCTTCTACATTTCGATAGGTATTGATAAACACAATAAAACTGCATTTTTACTTTTCCGAAATATTTAAATTTTTAAAATCGTATATTAGCGATTGTGGGCGTTAAAGGGGGCGTGGCACCTTTTTGAAACAAACTTGCGCTGCGTAGGAACTCCTAGAATCTGCATGCAAAATGCCAATCTTCTAGCTTTTATAGTTTCCGAGATCTCAGCGTTCATACGGACAGACAGACAGACAGACGGACAGACGGTCATGGCTATATCGACTCGGCTAGTGACCCTGATCAAGAATATATATACTTTATAGGGTCGGAAACGCTTCCTTCTAGCTGTTACATACTTTTGCACGAATACAATATACCCTTTTACTCTACGAGTAACGGGTATAATTATAGGCGATGAAATGGTATTCCTCCGAAAGCATACGTAAGACTTTTATCGGAATTATTTAAATAGCATATTAACTTTATTTTAATGCCATTAATCAGGGGGATGTTTTTCCCATTTATGCCTGAGGCCAGATAGCCATTTAAATCAGCTGTTGCATCAAGATCGCCGCCGGATGTAAAGCCAATTACTCCGTCGGCCAGTGTCCACGCATTAATGTCAATCAGTCGTGTAATTAACGAGGCTAAATGGACAACATCCAACAAGTAACAACAATAGCAACAGCGAGTGACAAACGGGAGCCATAAATATGGCTAATCGGTATGGCAATGATTTGATTAGATCGGCCGAGCTTTCTGATATCTCCCACAAATCACTGGGAAAAATATAGAATAGATATAAGCTCCACTCTATTAGGGCCGAAGAATTTAAAAAACAATATATTGGATTACCGTTAACCTAATTCACACAATTTAATTTTTTAAATTAAGTTATATGGAAAACTTAAAGTAACCCTACAAAATATGAGCAAATGCTAAACTATAATATTAAACTGTGATCTTTTACCATTAAAAAATATTGTTATGTATCAAAAATGCTTACAGAAGTATAAAGGCATTTCTAATTTTTGAATGTATTGTAAAATTTATTCTGAGTGTGGCTTCTGGCTTGCATTCAAATGGCAATGCGAATGCGACAAATTTCTGACAGCCCGAATGTCGGCGACATCATCAACGCCAAGTAATTAGCATTTAGCAGGTTGAGCGAATGTCAAGCGGTGGGTTCGCGTTCACGCTTGGAATTGAATTCGGGTTCGGCTTGGCCCGTGGTGCCATAACATGTATATTAGCCGGGGGCCAAAACGTTTGTAGCTATTTGGCAGTTGACAGCGGCTTTCAGTGTCAGTTTCTGTTTCGGCGGCGCCAAGCAATTAATTAAATGCTGTTAATGAATCTGAATTCCGCTTTTGCGGTAGACACTAGAATGTGACGTTTGCAAGAAGGGAAAGGCGTTTCACATATTTTAAATGTTCGCTGATTGTGCTGTTGAAAGATACCTGGACTACCATTTGCTACTTTAGATTAACTTTCATATTTTTGACATCTCTATTCCAGTATAACTCTTTTTTAGGAAAAATCCATTGATTTGGTTTTTTTAATGAATTTTTTAGCTAGGAAACTTAAAAGAAGTATCAAATTATTCATTTTTTAAAATATTTACTATGTCGCTGTAAACTTTTAATGAATTTTTGAGCATCAGACGAACCTCGACTAAAATCGAATAACAATTTTGTATAAAGCAAAATCTCTTTCAATCCTGAAATCAAAATTTATTTATAGTTTTTGTTACACTCTAAAAAATTTATTTAAAACCCTTAGGAATAAGAAGTATTTCTAGTCTGATAAAGAATCTCAAAACCTTACAAAATGTACTTTTTGATTAAATTAAAAATACAAGTTTTTGCTTTATAATAATTATCAATTTATGTTATATTTTTAACTGCGCCCACTTTAATTCCGTCACAGAGGTGCTTATTTAAAACAGATAGCCAGACTTGTCATTATGCCAACAGATGTTTGTGCCTCTGTGGTCCAAAATGTTCACTTTTATGCATTCATAAATTATTTAAGATCCATCAACATTTGGAATCTTCGCATCTTTTGTTGTGAGTTTCATGCTTCAACAGTCACTTTTAAATAATACCGAATAGTTTCCACTCATTATCTCATGCTGTATCGTATCTTATTTATTTTGTGTTTCGACGTGGCCTTTGAATGGTTGCTTGTCTAATCTAATTAAATGGATTCCTACTGCCTGACGTGGCGCGGGAAAGGAGTGATCGTGGGCAAAGGACCGCGCCGTGGTCGGACGGTACTGGTGAGAAAATAGTTGGAGAACCGGGACTGGAAACCGCTTCTTTGAGCCGAGCCTTGGGCGGGCTGTACCGCTGGTGGAGCTGGTTGGACCGAGTACTGGGGCCGAGGAGCTGCGGCTGGTTGGACCGAGTACTGCGGCCGGGGAACTGCCGGAAGAGTGACCTTGGGAGCAGCCGGCGGAGTGACCTTGATCACAGGTCGTGGCGTAGTTTTCACCAGACCCTGAGGCTTTCCCTCCGCTGGCTTGGCTTCGTCCTCGAAGGGTGGCAGCAGATCGAGGGCAAGGTCCTGCACGTCCTGTGTGCTAGCACCGGACTTCGATTTATCCTCCTTGGCCAGCTGAGCCGGCTTCTGGTAATACGCTTTCTTGGTGGGCTTTGTGGCCGGCGTTGTGGCAGGCCTCGCAGTTGTGGTTGTCGTGGTGGTGCTCGATTCATCCACCAGCGGTGGCAGTAAGTCATTGAATGGCAGAGCCACTTTATCCGCCTTTATTTCCGACACATCTGCTCCGCACAAAACGATCAGCACTGCCGATACAATGAATAACTGAAATGCAAATACACGTATAATTAAATAATGGGCTATTATCTTATATATTAAAATTATTAAAATTACTTTTAACAAAAATCTAAAAAAGCAAAATTGTTAAAAAATATTATTATTAAAATATTAAACAAAGTCAAAAGTTGCATATAATAATTTTATTGTATTGAGTTTGTTTTTTACAATCAAGGGCTTCTAAAAAATGTACCATATTAAAAACTTTTTAAAATGTCTACTTATTTAATTAAAAAGGATCAATTTGAAGAATCAAGAAGCTTGGTAGGTTTTGAAAAATATTTTTATAATTATTGAGAAAAAAATGGGACTATGTGGCATAAAAATATATAAGAAAGACTTGCTTGCGTAATAGATCATTTGACTTGCTGACCAATTTCGCTTGTACCTCTTAAGTTATGCCCTATTGTTTGATTTGGTCACAGACATTCGAAATGTGTTCCAATTTGAAAATTTGGTTAAGTTTTGGCTCTTGAGTGTGGGCGCTCTAAAAATATTCCCATCTGATTAATTCTGACCTTCGAATCGGCAAAAGCCTTGCATTGTTCGGCACATGCCAAAACTGGATTAGTGTACGGCCAGTTCTATTCGCATTTATATTCTAACGGAAATGTTCCTTTCCCTTGTAGGAAAGGTCATTAGACCTTCTCCGACAATGATTAGCTTAGCGACTATAATGAAACTAATCGAGCTTGAAATTTATGCAAATCGTAGCTTGAATAGAAAGAAATTATACGTCATCGTTTGGTCATGGCTTGCAGATTCACACCTCAAATAATAAAGCAATTTATTTCACCGAATAAATATATATGTAAACTAGACAAAGTCAGTTTACCAGTCTTGGCTTGTTTTTTTTTTCTTATTTCAGCTTTGTTGTGTTTAATCAAATATTTAATTGGCAATATATTTTAAAATTTGATTTGTTCATCCAACAAATGATTTTATAATGATAATTTTTGTTCACGACCAATTGCATATTGTAATTTATGCAGCAAACTGGAATTTCACTAATGATGCTTACGCAAATTGCTAATTAGAACAAATTCGCTGCATTCCTAAAAAGTCCATTTCAGGAAAGACCAGCTTTGAAACACAATTTGAATATACATTTGGAGCAATTAAGAATTCACCATTATGCAGAATAGTTGTCCACTTACGTATTTGAGTGACATATTTGCAAGGGATCCTATTTTTCCTAAGTGGGAGCACTCTTGCCCCGAACCGAACACTTTGAAATTTTTGAACGAACTAAAAGCGCCGCTGAGCATGCGCAGCATTTTTATATTCGATGAGACCAATCTATTTCCAAACTGAAACGAGGGAGAAGTTACACGAACTTGCTGCTCAGTGTAAAGTTTAATAACCGGATTAAGCCGGGGGTTTTGTTTTATTTTTATTTTGCTTTATGTGGAAGATGAGCATGAGAGTGGTGTTTGCTCTTGGTCTCCCTTGCCAATTAAGTGGTTTCTTCAACGATTATCACTTCTTGAATTTCGGTTTAATGCAGCAGCATAAGATACCGAAACAGCTGATTATCCGCTGAACTTCTGGGGTTCATGGTCGCATCTTGTAGATACAAAACCTCGTATCTCACATTTCGAATCTGGTTCTTGTGAGATGTCACACACCTGCGGATCTTTAACTTTATTTCAGTGAGAGCAAATGTAATTATTAACATTTTTCAGCGTCTTGCATAAGTTGTGATAAAAGGCGAAGCCGGTTTATGTCACTTCCTTATACAAGAGGGTGGCATACACCCGTGCTCGGAGATTGATTTTATTTCCATTTCTTAATTGGTTTTAATAGTATTCGCACAGTGCCAACCTGTTATTTTTCTATCCAGTGGAACGCCCTCATTTGCATTTAAATCGTGGGGGGATTCTCTAATGGAGTGAAAGCAAATTAGTGCCAATTACAAGTGCCTCGATAGCAGATCAGCATCTCCGTCATCAAAGCCCAGAATTTGATAGGGCCCTCCGTTCGCTGTTGGCTTTATTACCTCAATTTCAGTTGATACATCTCCAATTTATGCAAATTATGTGAGCGTTGATTCCTAACGCCGAGACTTTTTGTGCGTGCGAAGGCTCATATATTATGAGCCGCATTAGGGGCAACCGGATTTCTCGGGTTTTGTTTTGTTCGGTTTGGTTCCACGAGATTAATTGCTCATTGTTAAGATTCGTGTGGTATTTTTGATAAGCGTTAGCAAATAGTTTAAAGTTTGTGTTCTGTTGCCTGAGGTATTTGGCCTAAGTGGATTCATTTTTAAAAGATGTTTATCGTTTCATCAAAGAGGTTGGGTGCTATTTTGGTTACGTTATTTGGACCGCAAGGTAAAGAGATATAATTATACAAATTTTTTGGTTATAAAACTAAATGATTTACAAAACTAAAGCCACTGTTTGGTTCTACTGTTTTATGTTTTAATCTGATTAGGAATAAATCATTTGTTTTGAATTTTACTGGTTTAAAACAATGGAGGCGTCAAAATTTAAGAAAATAAAGTATTTGGTTTTTTATCAATACGGGGTAAAAACGATATTTTTAAGGCTTAAGTTTCCTGTTTTTTAGTTTAAATAAATTAAATATATATAAATTTTACAAACAACGCAGAATATAGGTTCAATTTTTTAAGTTCCAAAAAAAGAAAAGGATTTTGGTTCTTTGGCCTAACGATTTGTTTGGATACTTCCTCAATTTGAATTTTTCCACTTGTCTTTAAAATATTTGAATTGTGTTGGGGTCTTTTTAACTGCACCGCTTTTTATTTACCTTAATTATTATATAGTTATTTTATTGACAATTCACGTGCCTCAAATTCATCAAAAGCGAATTATTTATGCGGCCCCAACTGAGCTCGACTGAATTGTTCAAGTGTTTTCACTTAACCAACCCATAGCCGTTGCCCCTTATTTATTTGCTGCACACAGTGGACCGAAAAGCCCATAACAACATAATTTGTATTGAGCATTGTTAATAGCAAAAAAAAAAAAACAAGAAAATATGATAATTTCCACGAACCGATATTTATGTACTATGTATTGATTTCGTCCGATATTTATAAAATTAAAACCCTATTTTGAAAAAAATATCTAAAAAACTATATATTTTGTAAAAAAATATGTATATGTTAAAAAACAACAAAGTTATTATATTTTTTGGTTTTTCCGCTTGCAAGCAAGCTTCCAATATTTAAAAAAAAAAGTTTAAAATGTGAAATTTTAATAATAATAATTAGAAGTTATAGTGGAAAATCTAGTCATTTTATGTTTCCTAAAATCTTAAAATAAAACTTATTTCGTCGCAACATTTACTGCAGACGTACCACAGTGCGCGATTCTTGTTGTTCTTGATTGTATTCCATGACCGACTCCATTTCCCGGCCTCCATATCCTTTTCTGTTATTTATTTGTATGTATTTATTTATATTTATGTGGGAGTCGGCATGCGATAAGGGAAATTCCCAGTAGCGAATATGGAAACCGAATATCGAACTCCGTGTGCAGGAGCGGAGTCCTTTGGGTACTCGCCCGCATTCAATTGTCTTTGTATATACATATAAATCGAAAATTTCTGTTGTTCTACCGAGAAGGACGACGCGTGTCAATGCATGACATAAACAATTTTTATGGACGGAAGATATGCCAACGAAATCGAGCCCCAAATATTGAAAGGTATTCTTTTAAATCGAAATAACACAAGTGTCAAAATACGACTCTAAAAAATTGATTTTAACTTTTGTATTGAGAAACTCCCTCTGACACAAGACAAGAAAAGTCTAAATCAATAAAAGCACTCATTTTTCGGATGGCCTAATTAACGAACCGTTCTCTGAGCCTTTGGGTAACTTTTCAGTTAGGAAGAGTCACATTGGGAACAGATGTTGGGGGGGATGTTGTAAAAGACAAATTCAGGTTCGTTTAAAGTTTAGCTGTTATAAATAAGGTTAAAAGGTAAATACATTATTAAATCTTTTTGGAACGGCAATAAAATGTAATTTATTTATCTTCAAATCCACTAGCTGGATTCGATATATTTAACGCGGAAAACAAATTTGCTCGATTATAATTCCTATAGTGATGAACCAAGGGCGGTATTTTTTAGCTTGAACACAAGATTTTATTTTGCGAAACAGTAGCAGTACTAGTTATGTTTTTTAATCGGGAATCCCAAGTAAACATGTGCAGGGGGAGCAGGTAGATCGGAGAGCATTTTAGCCGGACTTCCCATCTGTTTTGGGAAGAACATGTACAAGCACTTTTGGCCCAGCCCGAGGTCGTTTCGCCTGGCAATCTTAGCTCATGCCTGGGAACCTGCTGGCGGATTGTTTTGCCTTTTAGCCCTCTTCGACTCCCTGGACCGGCTTAGTCTTGAGCTTCATAGGGAACTTGAACCGAACTGGACGCCTGCCCCAATGCCATTTGGCCGTTTACAACTTCCTGGTCAGGCTTGTGGCCTTGCCTTTTGGCCTGTCGCTGGTCTTTTGTTTGCCTTTTCGCTTTCGCTCCTTGTTTTTATACCCAGTAACTCAACAGTTCTGGGTAGATGAGGTGAAAGCACCTTAAGAAAATATTCATTATTTTGATAAGTATCAACAGCAGAGTCTCTTTCTCAATAATTGGCTGTCCCTTAACGTCACTTGGAGTTATTGCAACTACAAAATATGTGCACCTAATATTCCTCATAAGAGTTCAATCAAATGAATTTAATATCGATGGTAATGTATATAGTTAAGAATTACAAATTTAGCAATCATTGACAATATACTTATTTATAAATTATATATAATATATCCATAAATAGTCGGTATTTTCTAGTCGCCTCATTCAACTTAAACTTCTTTCTACTTACATTTTTTTTTGCTGTGGGGCTTGCCTTTACGGTTATCGTCGTTTTCTGGTTGCCTGTTTGTTGTTCGTGGCCCCAAGTTTGTTTGCGGCTGTTGCCAAGTAGAATGCACCGTCTGCAGTCGCGTCCTGCCCCTGTAATTAGCACAAAAATAAGGAGAGAAGGGTGCTTGCCCCCTGAAAAGGAGGATGCGCCCAAAATGTTTGCGACTTGAAGTTGCCGCCGAGAGTTGCTGTTGTAGTTGCTGCCATAGTTGCTAGTGCAATTGCATGATTTGCGGGCCCGAAAGTCAAACTCAAGGCACTCGCACAGCGCGCACTCCAAAGTCATAAAGTGCAAAAATTGTTACACTCAGGCAGAAATGAATTATGAAAGTTGCAGGAACCTCCTCAGATTCTTTGCCTTATTTTGCTTACGCTTTTCCATTTCCATCCCCACTTTTCCACCCCCTGGTGAACTCAGCGAAAGTTAAGATTTCGGGGAAAGTTCTGTTTGCGGGTCGAGTGCATATTATTTAATTCAATTTGAATGGGAAACTTAAAAATATTGCTAACTCGAGAGCAAGCCAGCGGGTAGTCGTTGTCTTGTCCAGTTCGCAAGTTGTATTCTTATTCGATTTTCATTCGGGTCAGTCCTTAACTCTTTTATGGTCCCTCGTGGCTTAAGCCTGAATAAGTTTCAAGGGAAAAAGTCAGTCTTTTGTACTTGAGACTTGTATATTAAATGTAGAACTTTAATAAGTAAAGTGCATTAAACTGCATTTCAAACCTTTGAAATTATATATCGCATTTTAAATAATTAACTAATACAATTTAATTGTATGTCTCCGATCCCAATGACCCGATTGACAAAATTAAAACACTTTTCTTCTGAGTCCCACCTTTCTGGACCTTTTTTGATTTACTTTATTTTTAAATTCTTAAAAATAAAAACCAGTTCATTAATTTTGGGGTACTTTATTTACAAATGTAATTTTCTTATAGTTGAAACTATTTTTAAAGTTTCGTAGTCAGAGTTTTTCATAAAAAGTTTTAGTGTTAAAAATACGCGAATTCAGAGCTCCGAAACAATATGTCAGAATTTTTAGATATAAGACACCAAAATTGACTATATTGACTTGCCTGGTAATGCTCTATACTACGTTGGAAGATTCAAATATCTGAGTAAAAACATGACATTTAACATGAACATATAAGATTGTTACACGTCCAGTTGTCTAAAGAATTAAAACTTATTTGAAAAACACATTTTTTTGAACGTTTTTTTTTTAATTATTACAGCATATATTAAGATTTAACTTTACTTACTTAGATTGTAAATTGTTATTTAATAATTATATTGGTATTCATAATGGCGATGTGTGTTCGGTCTTTCCTTGTTCGTTTTT